ATTTCTTTAGGCGGGAAAAGAGACATGTGACAATGGTGATGTCAGCAAAATGATCCAAGGGTGGAAATATATTAATGAAATGCAATCAAGGGCTCTGATTTCTTTATTTGGGAATTAAGGGTTCTCTTTTAATAATGATTAAAGATGCTACTTTTCCCACCAATTTTAATATCCCACTGTGAAAATGAAAGTTATGTGCCGACTAAATCCAAAATAGAGTTTGCACTCAAATAAATATACCTTTCCACGTAATTTAATTTTATTCCTCCAAAGATACTTATTTAATATAATCAATATAGTTTTGATACCTAACTAGATTATAGCCCGCGTTAAACGCGGGAAACACATAAAAAACATATAATTGTCTACAGATATTGCATAATGATTATAAAAAAATATATGGTTATTGGTATTATTGAAATGTGTAGAAAATACATTGGAAACGATAAATATCTATAATCATTCAAGGACCTCTTTGTAGACAACATTTTTTCTTTTATTAGTTGAACGACCTTCCTCGTCTCATATAGTTATGATATTGTTATATAATTATAAACATTTTAATTAGACGTTCCTTCCATAATAATGTTACCTAATTTAAACATATCTTGACAACTAATATACCGTTTTTTCCACTGCATTAAATATTGACAACTATTTCATTTATTCAAATAAAGTCATATAGTATAATTTATAGAATGTTAAATGTTATATGGATTTAATTTTAGTATATCATCAATGTAGATTCTTTTCTAAATCATGATTGACTTATTTTAAATTGATTATGAATATAAGTGCTAGCTTTTATGTTTGTTCTTATTTATTTGGTGTTCGCAAGAACTTTGCATTAGTTTTGGCGCAACTTTGAATAATTTTAGTATATCATCAATGTAATTTGGTATATCTTTCAATTATATGAAATATCAAATAATGACATTTCATTACCACTGTGATAATTTAGTTTATATATTATATTTTTACTAATCTTAACGGTCTTATTTTTTATAATAACCGTAACGCTTTTACTAATTGTACTTTTTACAAATCTCCTAATATCTTATAATTTTTATCTTACTTTATAATTTTTCATAACTATGTTATTTTCCAGATTGACTGTCTTAATAGTTTTTTTTTCAGTCTATTCAATTTTATATTTCATTGTACTACATCATCGTTTGTATGTATTCTGAAATTTTACTTTAAAAATGCTTAATGTTTACACCTTGATATTAATTTTTTTTAATAAACCCGTGTAATAATTATGGAATATATATCTCGTTTTAATTAACATTTTCTTCCTTCATTAAATCAAATTCCTCATTAAACGTATATAATTTTGGAAAGTAGTAATTATAATGGGACAACATTATCTAAGACGTAAATGTTTGATATATTTTTGGAGGAAAAAAATCAGGATCATTAAAAAATTTTATATAAAGAAAATACAAATTTAAATTTGGTGAAATTATGGATGAAATTACTGGCGCAAATTATTTTGGGGGGAGTTCTATTTTTGTAAGTTATAATAATATTACAAAATTCGAAATATGTATATTTGTTGTGTAAATTTATAAATTTTATTGTTACTATAGAAAGATAAAAAAGTAGGTTGGTATGATATACAAAAACATAATAATTTCAATGATACAAAATTAAAAAAATCATAATCATCTCTAATATATAAAAGTAACATATTCGTAATTAATGTCAGTTCCCAAGATAATTAAATTCTGTTTTGTTAAAGGTACGTAATATTTTTTCCTGTTTATTTGAAAAGTTTCAGAAAAGTAGTTAACTGATTTCATGTAATTTGTGACAAAGAAAATCGAAATATATGAATACATATATTTGATATAGGAACAAAAAATAATCGAAAAAAATATAAAAAAGCAAAAGAAGGTAATGACCTTCTAGTGCACAAGAGCGAATGTTTGAAGCAGAGAATGATGATGGAAGTTATAAGCAATAAGAATGATGTTGTAGGATAAGGTTTGAAGAAAATAAACGATTGAAAATAAATGTGAGCCGCAAATTCAAGGATGAATCGTATATGTATGTGCTAATTTGAATATGATTTTTTGGTATTAATGATTTCCTAATAAAAATAGATTTTATATTAATGGTTTACTAATATAAACAAAATTATATTAATGGTTGATATTAATGTCTTGATTGAAATGGTTTGTTAGTAATATGCTTTTAAAATTGACCATATTAAAAATCTTAATAGTCGGAAATTCAATATTTAAAATATGGAAAGCTTTTATTGGAATTAAATACATTCCATTTCAACGAAGGTAAGTTATTGTTTGACGATTGGAAAACATTTATTGGAATTAAATACATTTAATATGAGGAAGATGATGTCAACAATTTGATCTAAGGATGGAAAAAATGAGATTGAAATACAATCAATGGTCCATATTATTTAAGATGATGTTATAAGGTTTCTCTTTTAATAATATTTAGAGATTTGTCAAAGTATATTTATAAATAAACAAAAATGGGTTAGAATTTGTTATAACCCAAACAATGGTTGTATATGTCCCATTGTCTAGAACGATTGTTTAGCGACCAATTTGCTATGATTTTGCATTTGTTAGAATTTGTTATACATAATGATTTAATGATGTTTTTTTTATAATTAATAAATAATAATAATAGACATGTATCTAACCTTTTATATATATAATGCGGTGTGATGCGGTTTGAACCGCATTTGCGTAAGCATAAACCACAAACCGCACCTCATATTACGGTTTACAAAAAATACAAACCACAAACCGCACTGCGAACATTGAAAACCGTATTATGCGGTGCGGTGTGATGTGAGCGGTTTATGCGGTTTTGTGCACACCCTACCTATTAGTAATGTTTTTAAAGTTCGATAGATTTGAGAAAAAACATTTTCTCAAAACTTCGAAGTTGTTCGTCAACTTTTGGAATTGTTTTCAAATTTCAGAATATTTTTTTTTGTTAAGAATTTGAAATTATCTGAAATGTAAATTTTCATAGGTTAAAAAAATTTTAAAAATTAATAATAATATGAAATTTTGACAAATATCACATTTTAATAAAATTAATAATATTTTAAGACACTTGTTATATTTTCATACAGGTAATAAGATAATTAGAAGAAAAGTAGAAAAATATTTAATTTCTCAAATAACACATCCCAAACAAAATGATCATTCTCTAAAAACACAAAAAAATTAATTATTTTTGTTAGCAATTTTGTTCATAATGTTACTATAGTCAATTAGGGATTCCATTTATTTAACAAAAACAATAATGTTATTTTAGTTAATTAAGGATACCCTTTATATAACAAAAACAATAAGGGATAATGACTTAAAAGGGTAATATATTTTTCGATTTGTACACATTTGGTCACTGAGTTTTTTTTTCGTCCACATTTACCCCTTCAACTTGTTAAACTGTATACATTCAGTCCTTATGACCGGCTACTCCAGGTTACCCGGTAAAAATGACTTAATAGGGTAATATATTTCTCACTTTGTACACATTTAGTCCTTAATATTTTTGTACACATTTAGTCCTTTTATTTTATTTTATTATTATTATTTTTTGCAAAATAAGTCATTTTTTTGTACTCATTCAGTACTTATGAATGATTTTTTAGTTTTTTCTCACAAAATCTTAGGTGGGACATTTATTAATGAGGTGTATGGGGCTTTTGATGCTTATATCCATCGCGATCTCGACTACTTGGTTGCTTAGGTCATGTGTTTTGAACGTCATAACTTCTTCATATAATCTCGGATTTTAACGATCTTTATATCCATGCGTTCGTATTTTAGTCTACTATAACTTTCGTTTAGATTACTCCCATTAAAAAATAATATATTTTTACTTACGAATTTTATATCCATACACGGTGGCGGATTTGGTATGGTCCCGGTGTTGCACCGACAACATCTGTTTTTTCTGTTCGCAGTGGAGAATTTTTCGTTTTTTTACGTTTATACATATTTTCCATGTATCGGCAACACCTATTTCATCTCGGCAACACCTACTATGTATTACTGCGTCTTCCCCTGTCCATATGTTTTTTATGAATGCATGTATGTATGTTTTTTTTATAAAATCGTTAGTAAAAATATATTACATTTTAACGGGAGTAATCTTAATGAAAGTTGTAGTAGACTCAAAAAATGAACACGTGGATAAAGATCCTTAAAATCTGATATCGTATGAAGAAGTTACGATGTTCAAAATACAAGACCTAAGCCAAACCACAAGACTTACGCAACCAAGCAGTCGAGATCGCATTGGACATAAGCATCAACAACCCCAAGCACCTCATCAATGATTGTCTCACGTAAGATGTCGTGAAAAAAACCTAAAGAAATCATTCATAAGTACTGAATGTGTACAAAAAAAGGACTTATTTTGAAACAAAAAAAAATGTTAAGGACTAAATATGTACAAAAATATTAAGGACTAAATGTGTACAAAATGAAAAATATATTACCCTATCAAGTCATTTTTCCCGGCTAACCTGAAATAACAGGTCATAAGGACTAAATGTGTACAGTTTCACAAGTTTAAAGGGTAAATGTGGACGAAAAAAAACTCAATGACCAAATGTGTACAAATCAAATAATATGTTACCCTTTTAAGTCATTATTCCAAACAATAAACTATACAAATGATTAACGATTGTGATACTCTTACTAGTACTATCACTTATTGTTATGGCAGCATTAATTTGACCATTATCAATATGTTGGAGTATGTGTTACGATATCACATAAGTGTAGTTGGTGAGAGACAAATACCATCGTTAAAAACAAAAATTAAATTCTGATTTGGATTAAAAAAAGAAAAAAAAAAGAAAAAAAAAGAAAAGAAAGAAAGGGAAGATAGTAGCAACATTTGTCAAAGAGCGTGTGCCAAGAAGAAAGAAATCTTCCTCATCATTTTGATCCAAATCCAAATTCTTGTTGGGTTCAATCAAATTCAATCAACTTCTGCTAATGGCACACATTTCAAAAACCCAATTTCTACATCAACAATCCGATGAATCAGAACACCATATACTCCAAGAAGATGAACGAATTTCATCTGAACAAACCCTAGACAACACCATGACTAACTGCTTTACTTTGGTTGAAGATGATGATCTCGTGAACGTGGAGGAGGAAGAAGAAGACGTTCCTTACACCTTCAATTTCGATCCGTTTTCTCCGCTCAATTCATCGTTTTTCGTTCCTTCATCTTCCTCGTCCTTTTGTTATCACCACCAACATCATCATATTCACCAGGTAAAATCGAATTCAAATTCATGTTCGTGTTGCTCATCTGAAGCGGAATCAGAATCCGCATCCGAATTTCCGGATTCAACTGTTTATCCGGATTGTTTGTACGGTGACGATGAAGAATACGACCAAATGGATTTCATCACCGATTTGTTCGACTCTCGTGGAGATACCGAGCTTGTTTCTCGCCGGTTTTCGAGCACTGATGTTGGAATCAGCGTTTCTGAAGGTAGTCCGATTGATGACGATAACGACGATTTCGTTTCCAGTAATATCGAGCATCTAGGGTTTGAAGGCGGCGGTTTAAGAGTCGTCGGAATCGAATCGGACTCAGATACAGAAGAATTAGGTCAAGTTAACGATAGATTTCAACCCAGTGAACCGAATCTCGAACGTTTCTGGGATTGTTCATCTATCGAGAGAGAAGAAGCAGAAGCGACTTCTAGGGTTGACGAGAGAGACGGATTGAGTTCCGTGATTGATAGAATCGAAGAAATTTCCGTTTCATCTGAAATTTCCTCAGAAGGAGACGCCGCCGTTGGGGTTTTGGAATGGGAGATCCTTCTAGCTGTCAACAACCTTGAAAGAGACCTCGAATTTGAAACTGAAGGAGGTGAGGGTTTTGTTTACACAGCTGAATTCGATACTCTAATTGGTCAATTCGTGGAAACTGTTAGAGCTTTAAGAGGTAGTCCTCCTGCTTCCAAATCCATCGTGGATAATCTGCCATTGGTGACCTTAAAGAACAACAAAGATTCAAAACAAGATGACGACCATGTCATCTGTGCAGTTTGTAAAGATGAAATTTCGATTGAAGAGAAAGTGACAGAGCTTCCATGTCGTCATCATTACCATGGTGACTGCATCCTGCCATGGTTAAACATTCGTAACACATGCCCTGTTTGCCGATTTGAGTTGCCTACAGACGATGTTGAGTATGAGAGAAGCAAGAACAGAGTGGATGTTGATGATGATGATGATGTTGAGCTTCGAGTTGGGTATGGTTTTCAACTTTCACCTTGATATTATATATATAAATATATAATATTATGTGTGTATATGATGATATCTGTAAATAGTTTGATGTTAGTTTTATCGCAATGCAAGAAATTGCGTTTGTTGTTGTGAAATGTGGTGTCTTTTTTTCATCGATACTTGTGTCAAGTGTTTATGTTAAATGAAAATAAACTTGAATTTCATGGTTTTTGTTCGAGTTTAAGCAATAATTTTTGGTAAAATTTCAAACTATGGTGTTATTTTTACAAATTTAAGTACTTTGAAAATCAGCCAAAATAGGATGCTATACGTGAAAAATATCAATTATCAACTTGAAAAGTATCCATTTGATCTCAAAAGTAAAAACTATGCAAAATCATACCAAGATTTGAATGTGCACCATCTCCATAAATTCCATTCAAAGGCCCACACACTTAACCCACAACCTCCCAAAAATAACAACATTATTCGTACACAACACACTATTCTTAACAAAAACATTGGGATCCCATACAAAAGAATCCCTCCCGAGCGACTGCAAGCACAACTAATAGCAAAATCAAATCTATAGTTACCCCACATACTATGTATTTTAAAGGGTTAATGACCTAGAAAAGTAACGAACTTTTGTCTTTGTCCGCATTTAGGTAACCATGTTTTTTTCGTTCACATTTGACCATTGAACTTGTTTGACCTGTTCAAAATAGGTTAATATGACCGACAATTACGGTAATATTACCCTATTATGAATATGTCAAACAAGTTTATTTGTCAAATGTGTACGAAAAAAACATGGTTACCTAAATACGGACAAAAACCAAAGTTTCTTACCCGCGTTTTGGTTTTGGTAATACTGGACAAGAACCGTCTTAGAGACTGTGTGCCTTGGGATCAGGCTCCGACAGTCAATGAACAATTAGGTTAGACTTGGTCTAACCCAGTTTAGTCCCGGCTAGTCATGGGCTAAGCTATGTTGCTCGGTCTTTAAAACACATACAACCTAACCCCTTAAGCGTATACAACCTAACCCCTAACTAGCTGGGCCTAAACTGGGTTGACCCAAGACTTAACCATCTCCTCATACACAAGACCGGACAACCCAATTTCATTTCACATCAATGGATTTTATGACTACTTGCATTTACATAAATAACCCAATATTACCAAAATAGGTAAGGAACTTTGGTTTTTGTCCACATTTAGGTAACCATGTTTTTTTCGTACACATTTGACCATTGACCTGTTCATAATAGGGTAATGTTACCGCTAATTACCGGTCATATTACCCTATTTTGAACAGGTCAAACAAGTTCAATGGTCAAATGTGAACGAAAAAAACATGGTTACCTAAATGTGGACAAAGACCAAAGTTCGTTACCTTTCTAGGTCATTAACCCTATTTTAAAAAGATCAACTTGTGTCATTCTAGTTTCGTGAAGTGCTAATAATGACACCCCATGTTGCGAACAAAGAGACATAACCCAATTCCTTTTTAAAAAAAGTTCGGATGCTGTAAATATTCAATGAGAGGTAATTTATTGGTCCACATGAATCACACCAATACCAGACAAAATCTTTTTAACCTTCTCCTTATTACTTTCCATATCATATCCAAGAAAACTACCCATTTCAGAGTATTGCTCAAATACATTATCAATATCAACTACAATCATAGCATGACCTTCTCCTTATTACTTTCCATATCATATCCAAGAAAACTACCCATTTCAAAGTATTGCTTAAATACATTATCAATATCATCAACTGCAATCATAACACCTTTTTTTTTTTAAAAGTTTGGAAGATCCATGTGAGCTAGAAGACCTCACGTTAAACACCAAACACTCTGCACCTAAGGCATTAGAACCATCTTGTCAGAATCCCTAAGGTTGGGAGAGGGATTCCGACCGGACAGTCTCCATAACAGCTGCTTCTAACGATGAGACGACAACAACCAGAACACTAGGCTGCACTGAAGACACAGCATGTGTGACAACTACAGTTGGAGCAACATATGTATTAAGGAGAGTAGCAGCTGGAGCAACATATGTATTAAGGAGAGTAGCTGAGGTAGGGGAGACAGTAGGGCCTGTATGCACTGAAATTGGAGGAGAATTCATGTGCATGCATCCTCATTAACCACCTTAGCCCCCTTAAAACCACTTGTAGAAAAAAAGCTACCCTCTCTATCAACAAACCCAACACCTCTTTCACCTTTTGTAGTGTAACCTTCTTAACTAGAATCTTCATCAATTTCCCCATCTTCTCTCCTTTCTTGATTATTCATAAGATCATCATTATTCTCCTTTTCAAAAAAAAAAAAACTTCATTATTCGATTCACCCGACAAGTTTAGGATATCTTGATGTAAAGTCTCACCATTCTCCCAGATTCCGGGCTCCCAGTTAGAAATATCACACACCACCACCTCATAATCAATTCCCTGTGCGACTACCTTAACAATATCATGAATAAAAGAAGGTTTTACAGTCGTGATACACACATTTGACTTCCATATGAGCTACATTATCTTCCTTCAAAAAACACACCTCCCCTAAAATTTTAGCAACCTTAGACACTGATGCTTCATTCCATGCACAACACGGGAGCCCCAACAACTCGATCCAAAATACTTGTTCCTTTACAAAAAATACATTCACTACCGGTCTAAATGTAGAGAAATAAGATCGAAGACCCGGGGCTTTTTTTGAATCGAGAGTAAACCACCTTAGACTCAAATGAAATATAAATATAACGTCCCAATTTTCAAGATAAAATTTTTAATTTTTAAACTCATATAAAAGAAATCATTTGTTAAGTAACTTTATAAGAAACATTTGCTCCAGGAGTTTACATACCAAATCAGAGTACGATCATAAATGCGCATTCCTAAACCACAGAAGCTACTGATGTGTATACAGTTACACCTTCGCCTTCCCAAGATCATCTGATGTACCTGAAACATTTAATCTACAATTGTAAGCCAAATCTTAGTGAGGTTTTCGTAACGATGACTCTCTTTAGGATATTGTATTTGTACCGAGATGATGAGATGACAGAGGAAAAGAGAGATATGATATACAAAGAGATCAAGTTTATATTAGGATAACATGCAACCTACTTATTATTTTTTTTTTTTTAAAATATAACAAGTTTGAAAAAAATACAAATTTTTAAGGGCGACGTAGTGTTTTCAACTTGGTCTAGAACCAAAATCAAAATAAACTCAAGCCATATAGACACTCCAATTGAAAGAAGGATATAGATGAAACATGCAATTTACCTTGACTGGCATGACCGATTTATTTAAGTTACTCGATGTAATAAATTAGTATCTGTTTTAGATTATCCAAAATTTGAAAATGTTTGCTAAGTTTAGCTTCATTGTATACTGGCATGACCGATTTATTTAATTTACTCGATTTAATAAATTAGTATCGGTTTTAATTTTCCGAAATTTGAAAATGTTTGCTAAGTTTAGCTTCGTTGTATATAAAGTATTTATTGTAAGTGTTTAAGGTTATATTCAATAAACTTTGGGAAAATTATAAATTTAACCATTTTCCTTAATCTCTTTGTAAAAAATAGTAAAAAAAAAAACCCAACATTACAAAATAGCCATCAACATCGCAGATAGATTAGATCAATTTGTGATTTTGAGTGCCGATCTGCGAAGGTACAAGTGTTTAAAACGTGTTTGTGCATTATCTGTTGTACGCCCATCTGCGACCACCTACGATATGGGCTTTTTAGGATATAAATTCCTAATTTTTTTGAACCCTCATTTTTGTTGATTTTTCTTTGGGAAAACTCTCTCAAGCCTTTCAGAGGAAGCTATGCATCACAAATCAAGTTTTAACTATACAAAAAAACATAATATGAAAGATACTTATACAACCTGAAAATGCATCGAAAATCATTTTTATAACACAAATAATATTTATACAATTGTCTAACATTTATTTTATTCCAAGTCTCATGAAGATCATCGAAGGTGAACTCCCACAAGTATATACCCCATGGATTCGTCAAACCTATCATTTTCGTAGTCAAAATTAAAAAAGAAAACATTACCATTGCATAATAACATATGAAGTGAGAGAAAATCGTAGATGAACTCACTTCATCTGCGAACGTGTGGAAGGGAGGGGTATTTATACCCGAAAAAACCCAAAAAAAGAAAATTAATTGCGAACGTACAAGTCAACAATGCACGACCATGGTTTATGTAACACCTGGTTTGAAATGGAAATGATTTGAGCATGGACTCGGCGAGTTGGGAGCTCAACTCGTCGAGTGGGGTCGTATTTCAGGGGCACGAATCGGAAGTGACTCGGCGATTCAGAAGGGTGACTCGACGAGTCAGGCTGTTTAATGAAAAACCCTAATTTTGGGGTTTGCCCCTATATAAGCCTCATTAAACGCTCTTGTTGCCTCCCTTAGCATCATAAGAGACTGTGTACGGCCGCAAACTCCCTGGTGTGTGAAGTATGTGCATTTGAGAGCTTGACTTTGGGAATTTGGGAAGGAATCCAAGCTTGGAGAAGAAGAATCAAGGGGAAAACACTGGATCTAGCATCTAGTTCGTCTTGGGCATCAAATTGAGGTATGAATCTATCACCTTAAGCCTATATTCTAATTGGGAGTTCATGACCCAACTTTGAGGGAATGGAAGCAAGCCTAGATCTGGACCTATCACAAGGGTATGGTCCAGATCTGAACCTCACTAGGTCCCAAATATCATAAAGTTGCATGCCTTATAAGCTTATTCCCTCCCCATGAATGAAAACATTGTTGGAGGATTAGTTTTGGAGTTTACGGTTATGAAAGGCACTGCATGCACGTAAAGTTTGTAGCTTTACGTGAAATCTGCAATAGGAGATGATGGATCTAAAGTTTGGGACCTTAAGTCCCACTGGAAAGGACCGTAATCATGATGAACTTTGGGGGACTCGACGAGTCGTGCAAGTGACTCGGCGAGTCGAGAGGGTTTTCTCGTTTACGGCCAAGGGTGTACGACCAAGAGTG